CCGAGGAAAGAAACGGCTGTGCAGGTCTCCATTTTCCTATTGAGAAAATAGATCCTACAAAAATTTGTTACTCTGGTTAAAGTCAGGTAGGAACACGAAGTGATGCTGTCCTTCTTGTCCCCCTGCAGCTTTCAGAGGGAATCAACGCAGGCCAAGGCCTGGGGATCGAAATCATTGCCACCTTCCAGCTGGTGTTGTGTGTCCTGGCCACCACGGACCGGAGAAGGAACGATGTCTCGGGATCAGCACCCTTGGCCATCGGTCTCTCTGTTGCCTTGGGGCATCTGCTTGCTGTAAGTTTTAGCCCTCACAGTTTGTACCTGCGTGTCCCACCCCAGGACGAGCCAGTGAAGGCAGGAAGATGATGGGGCAGCGATAGTTTCTTCCTTCTCCTTCCCCTTCTGAGACTCTCCCTGTTTCTGCAACAAACATGCCCCTTCTTTCGTGGGCTGTGTGGCTGTGGCAGCGAGTGGTGAGGTGGCACATCCAGCAGGCACTGCCATGTAGGATCTGTTTTCCTGATGGGACAGGACAAACCTGTGGCAAACATTCTTCCTCCTTTCTCCGAGGAAGAATGGGTGGGGTGAATAAAGCTGTTGTGAGCATCCAAACCCTGCTGCAGGCTGCCACCTGCCCCGCTGTGAAATGGAGGTGCCACATGTGCCTCACACTGGTTCTCTTTCCCCCCTCCCAGATCGACTACACCGGCTGTGGAATTAACCCGGCCAGATCCTTCGGCTCGGCACTGATCGCCAACAACTTTGAAAATCACTGGGTAAGATGGATGTATTTCTTTACCTCAAAATAGCCTCTGAATATGCATAACCTACAAGATCAGAAACATTTAAACCCGTATCAATAGGACCAGCTCAGCGAGCTGCCATTTCTATTTCATTTAACAACGAAAAGTCTCCCTTCGCTCCTGACCAGCCTCAGGCAATCAAAGTTCTCAAGCTCATTCAGTCTCTGTGTTCAAAGTAATGCAGTAGATTTTCTTTGGTTATTTCCCCTTATGTTTATTTATTTTGAACATTTTACATGTTTAAGCCTTATTACACAAAATCCTGTGTTGTGTATTTATTGTTTAAACCGAGTTTGTAAAGTGCTGCTGCTTAATCTGGTAAAACCCAATTTAGGAAGATTCTTAAGCAGGTTTATAAACTGAAATGGATCATCCAATATTTGAGAGCCAATAAAATGTTCAGCATCTTTAAGTGCCTGCTTATGTGTTTTCAAGGATAAGTGCTCTGGAAACACTATAAATTTTAGATTATTCCCTGTGGTTAAATGTGGTTAAAATGAGCAGCTTCACAAAAATTTATTGATTTCACCAAAGCTTAATAAAGAAGGCTGATAAAAAAGTTGTAAATGAGCATGTGTTCTTGAATATATAAAATGTAGCTTGTTCCAGCTCTCCTACTCATGATTTTGGCAGTCAGTTGCATAGGCATTGGTGGAAATCGAGTGATACTACAACGGGTTGTGAAAATTGTGGGTATGGATGCCATTTCAATCTAAAGAATAAAATACAAAATAAGGATACTGGGGAAATTTTAAAATATTTCCCACAAAAATTTCTATTGGGATTCTAGGGTAAAGCAACTAAGCTAGTAGTTGGTATTTTCAGAACTTAATAGAAAAATTATTATCTTTTGTGCAGACAGAAGGAGATGAAGGTAATAATAATGTTAGACTAGTGGTATTACTGAATAAAAGAAAAATTTTTCAAACTCAGTGACTCTTTGGCCTTTCAAATCCTTCAATGTCATCAGTTATTTCTAATAAAATCAACCTGTCTACTAAAATCCTTTTATTACCTCTCCTTCCAAACTTCACTTGCCTTGAGTGGTTAGATCAGTTCAATTACAGCAATATCACAACTAAAGAGCAGCTAGTAGGAAATTAAGCCTTTAATTAGGTCCTCATTAAGTAATACTTTCAAATTCACTCATCGCTGGAAGTTAATGGGAGAATGGAATCTAATGCCCTGTTGTCCTTGAAATTGTGCTCCGCTGCCAAACCTACCTGGAGCAGCAGAGAAGTTTTAGCAGTAGATGCTCGATTTTAAATGTCAGAACTTGGCAACACAGCCACAGTTATTCACCTCCAGGTCTATCACCAATTCATGGTGAGAAATTCCTGGTCTCCTGCCACGTGGTTAAGTAAACATTCAAGTTTCGGTGTAAATTTGATGTTCTCAGCGTAATTTTTTTCTGTGAGAATGAGGAACTTTGCAGAAGAGCTTCAAGTGCAGAAAGACCTGATGCATTAACTGGGCTCGGATCTGTGTTTCAGATCTTCTGGGTCGGCCCAATCATTGGAGGAGCGAGTGCTGCCCTGATCTACGACTTCATCCTGGCTCCCAGGACCAGCGACCTGACCGACCGCATGAAGGTGTGGACCAGTGGCCAGGTGGAAGAGTACGACCTGGAAGGAGATGACATGAACTCCCGTGTGGAAATGAAGCCCAAATAAAGGAGGACAAGGAAGGGGGGGAAAAAAAAAGAAAAAAAAAAAAA